ACCCAGTCCAGAGTCCGGAGTCCGGAGCCTGGAAAAGTCTAAGCCTGTGGTCCGCAGAAGCCATGACAAGCGCAATCTACCAGCTGCGCAGAAGACTGACCGAGCTCAAGTCTGGCGGAAGCTATTATCTGGACGGCAAGCGGTGTTTTTTGTGCTTAGATGATGCTCAATTCTTGGTCTCGAAGCTGGAGAGGAGAAACCAAGGGGCACGCCGGCACAAGCTTCGCCCTAAAGACGAAGCCTGTTGGCCATGCCGACGAGTGCACGCTTTCTGGAGCAGCAGCACCTTGAGTGGACACTCAGCCTTGCCTTTAGAGTGCGCAGCTGGGTTGGCCTCTGCTCGCCAGATTGGCCTGGAGGTGTTTTTGTGGACGTACGACGACGAGGTGGTGCAGGTTCCACAAGGGGTGACCGTGAAGAATGCAGATTCGCTTTTTCCTATAGCTGAGGCTCGTCACTGGCTGGATGGCGGCATTGCCATTCAGCACCTGGCAGACCTTGTCCGATTGCAGGCAGCGAAGCTTCATCCTGGAAGCGCAGGCGAGCCCCGCATCAGGCGTGCCTGGCGGTTCCCCACTGCGCTTCAAAACGGCAAACACATGACAACCTTTTTTTGATTTGCTCACCTTTTCCACTGGCCAGAAAAGTTTCTCAGTTTTCCAACTCCGGATGCTAGCCAGCTGAATGCTCCGGAGCCCTCCAAGCAACGCCTATTCAATTCTAGCAGCCAAACCTGTGTCTAAGCGCGCCTTGTTGCGAGTGTGTGGCCCACACGTTCTGCCTGCGGCAGCGTGGCGATGCGTCTTACACGTAATTGGATTGGTGTTCAGTGTCTTTGGGGGCACCCCAAGCTCTGCAGCAGGCCCGGCAGCTGGTTCTGCGACGCGGCTGTGATCTGGCTTCGCCTTGCACCTGCACTTCCGTCCAGGTCTGGCCACATGTTCATGAAGATGCCAGCTGCCAGCGTTCCCCGGTTCTTGACCAAAGGGAATGAGCCGCTCTTCCGGCGACTGCATTGGCTAGAAAAACCAGATGTGGTTGAGCCTTGGCAACGACCACCCTTTCACATTCTTTTTCAATTCTTTGTGTTGGGTCCAGGGAGAGACGTAGCTAGTGCCAGCAGTAGCGAGAGGTTGCGCACAGTGACGCAGTGCTTTTTCAAGGTCGTAGGCTGATAGCTTGGCGTCTGTTACTTTGTCTAGCAAGTTGTGCTGACAGATTTGGGCTGGGGTCACAGTCACATAACCACTGGCTATGATGTCTATTGGTTTGAGCAGTTCAAACGTATCCAAGGAATGTCTCTCACAGCCCTTCTTTATCCCAGAGGGCTCAGAGTGGCTGGAGTCGGCGCTGACTCAGTGCCTTGCCCTTGTGGGAAAGCACTTGCAGGCCCATGCTGGCAAGGAATCAAAGCCGAAAATGAAGTACTTCAGGCTGTGGGACATCATGCGGGATTGTATTTTCGAGCATGGCCTGCAGCTTGACCTCATGCACGCGAGTACCTTCCACCATTTCCATGGCCGGGAGAAGCTATTGTTTCAGGACGGCAGCGCTGACATTGCAGAGCAGATGGCTTCAGATAGCAAAGTGGTTGGAATTGAGCCGAGCACTTTCTCCACCAAGCCCGTCTTGTTCCCCCCGCTGAAGGCAAAAGTGGGGAGCAGCCGCAAGCAGACAGCTTCTGCGCCGCAAGCAAACAGCTGGTTCTCAAGGCTGATGACGCGCTGCTTTCCGCAAGGCGCGTCTTCGTGGTGACAGGCAATGCCATGTCAGTGTGTGGGATTTTCCGACCTGGCTATTAATTGAAGCTTTTTCATGTCTTTCACTAGCGGGCGAAGACGATTGTCCAGAGAGCCTGCTGCTCCGAAACAACCAAAACAAGTTTGCAGCACAGATGGGCTTGTTCGGTGTTTCAGCCTTCCAGCGCATCCAACCCTGAGCTTAGGACATGATACCAAATCCCAGCCCACGGTTATGCTGATCCCCCCCCCCCCGCCCCCCCTAAAGATGGAGCCCCGGCACTCTTCGCCCCAGGCCTGGAGAACAGGGCCGCGCCATTGGCGCCGATCTGCGACACTCCTCCTGATGCACAAGAGGCTGAGGGCGACCGCCCCAGGAAGAGAGGCGACGGGGGGAGAGCAGTTACACGTTGTATTTGCGCTTTTTTTTGGCTGTTGGGTAGCATCTGTGTGGTGTTGCTGCTCCGTGCTACTTTGCTTGTCTAATCTGGCAGGCAGGGCGAACTCAGCTGGAAGCCCGCTTCCTGCGTCCGTGGATGATTCTGGGCCTGCCGACTGTCCTCAGAGCTCGAAGTGCAGAGTCCAGAGTCCTGACCGCAGAGTCCAGAGTCCTGACCTAACTCAGCAAGACTCTGGGTGCGCAAAGGCAGCTGCAGAGCCTTGCCATGCATCAGCAACAGGTTTTATGTTTTTGTGAGTACAACTGTCGCTTTTTGAATTGCTCTGGCGGGAGGGGCTCAAGGCGAGCTGTTTGAAAAGCTTGGAATGTCGGGGTGTTTTTCAGGGAGCGACAACCATGATGTTTTAATTTTGCTGGAGACAGTCTGCTTGCAGCTTTTTATCCTGCGATTTCGGTTCATTTGCCTGGCTGCCAGCTCCGGTGAGGATTTCCCAACTGTGCTCTGTGAACCCCGCGCGCAGCTGCCAGCGTGGAAGGCGGAAGTGCGAGGCAAGATGTTTGCGCTCAAAAGCTGCCTGGACAACAGCCATCCAGAAAGCCTGACTCTGCAAGTGCTTGGTTCAGGCATGGGCTTCTTGGAGTCACTTCCAACAAATCTACTGCATGTGCAGCTGAAGCTGCAGGTTGACTCCCCTCTCACGCCGCTTGGCATGCTTCCGATCGCTCTCATGAAATGGGGATGCAGCGCCGCATTGCCTGACGACATGGCCGTTCAGGAGGAGGTCCTAAGTCATGCCAACATTAGCCGTGTTGCGCGGAAATCGTTCACTGCATTTGAGGCTAAGCTTCTCATGCTGTATGCCAATGGCACAAGCAGCTGAGCCCAGAGGCCAAGACTTTCAGATGAAAAAACAAGACACGCCCGCGCCATCAAAGGATGTCCCTTGCAGCTTTCCCCACTCAGAGGCTGACTAGATGCTTTGGTGGGCCTTGGCCATCATTCTCATTTTTGATAGACGAAGGGTCTTGCTGAGCAAAGCCACCATGTTCCAACTAGCTCCAACCAGTCCATCCTGAGAACCAACGAGGGTCTAAGCTTCCCCAACGGCACGAAGAAAACAAAGACAGGCAGTGTGTTGTCTCGCCGAATCACTTTTCCACCCTTCACTATTCTGACATCAATATTGCGTTCTCAACACCCCACCCAAAGACAACAACATGAGCTGTCACATACTTGCGTGCAATCCATCGGTTGGTCTCACGGATGCTGTCGCCAGGAGACTTCCAGCTGACGAGTTTGCAGACGCTTTTGCGGAAAAGTCTTCCGCCGCGGAGATCAGGGATCTGACTTGCCAAAATTGGCTAAAACCCCCCTACATCCCCGCTTCCCCCGTATCCCCGCTAATTCGCTTGCCCAACATATGGGGGTGTCTTTTTTTGGATTTGGACCCCACAAAATTGCGACTTTCCGGTCCTTTTGTTTCCCTTTCAAACCAACAAGAAAGGGGCACCCAACAAAAAGATACACGCATATGATCATGGACACATTGCTGACTGGAATGTCCTTGACCTTTCACTTTGCTTGATTTTGATTTGCCCAGTCCCACAATTCCTTGGATTTAACCTGCACAAGTTCAACTTGTAGCAGGTGATCAGAAAAAAACGGGCCCAGATCAGAAAAAATCGGGCCCAGAATAGGCCGCCCAGTTGTTCACGGGCGAGCTTCCAGACAATCCAGGGCAAGCTTTGGCTGTTTTACCTTTGCCTACTTGGGTGTGGCGATCAAAATACGATCGGAGGGGCAAACCGCAGGTTTTGGTCCATGTAACCCCACTTACCAGGGCAAGCCATTTTGGAATTCCGGTTTTTTGAGCCACAGCCACTTCGCCTGACAAAAACGCCCCAGAAAATTATTGGACTATTTGAGGCCCAAGTTAGGGTCTTGGGCTAGGCAAGCGGAAAACTGAGGGTGGTGAAGTTTTTTGCTCACGGAAACCAGTTCGATGCAACGTTTGCTTTGTCAGAATCCGTGTGGACGGACCAACATGGAGTGTGTAAGTATCACGAGGGGTCGGTGTGTTTGTCATTAGGAGGAAACAATTTCAGCTTCTCATAGAATCTCATAAGCCGCTCATCGGCCAGAGAAGGAGGCCAGGAAGATGCACGTGTAACCACTGCTTCTTCGGGTGGACAATACAAGACTGATAACAACTTGTTGTTGAGGTGACTGGCACACATTGGTGTCACAGAAAGGCATATTTCTTACAACCGTGGCCAACACCTGATGAATCAGGTATCCCCCAATTGGTGGTTTGGATTGGTGGTTTGGGGATTTGAACCCCTGATTCTTGTAAAGGGTAGCTGGGAAGCCATTCCTATCCACCAATTGGGGTGAAGCTGAATGAATGCAAGCAGGATGGGGAAGACTGTGCAGTCAGACATCTATGACGGCATGATGTCTATGTGGTACCACGCCGGTTGCTTCCTGCTGCTTTGCCGCAAAGTTTGTGGGTCACGTCGTGCCGTGGCGGGGGGCTTTCGGGGGGTTGTTCAGTTGCACCGTGTTGCACTCCTGTCCCCTTTTTACTAAACAATGCCAACCCCAAAAAGGGGTCGCTCCTCACTTTTGCCAAGGTCGCTAAAGAACAAACAGGTGGGAGTTTCGGGTTGTCTGACAAAATCTGGGGGGCCCTGTTTGGATGTCGTTTGATTGCAAACCACAGGCAGCAAACCGTTTTAGGTGTATGGCCCTTCAGATATGGGGCCATGACGCTTTTCCGTTGGGCCATGACACCATGTTCGATCGGCCGTGGAGACTCCAGGTCCACGCTCGTTTGTCGCTTAGGTTTGTCGATAGAGTCATGGAGCGGGAGAGGGGGTGGGTAGACTGGACAGATAGACAGGGGTGGGGAAGGGTAGTGCAGAAGATTGGGGACCAGCAAACTTGGTCCGTTTTGCATGTCCTAAAAGCCGCTTGGGGGTCGAAAACACAGGTTCCCCAAGTTTTTACCGTTTGGCGTTGGGGGGGTCGAACAAACATGAACGGGCCCCCAACAACTTCCATTTGCTGAAATGATTTTTTTGTCTATGTTCCATTGTTTGTTTCAGTCGGAATCAATCCATCACTCGGAATGTTTTTCTTTTCTTTTTTCAGGGGGCGAAAAAGCACATGGAAGTGAATAGAAACCAAGAAAACAACCATGTTGGAGGGGGGGGCTAAAAGATGCGCCCATTTCAACATCCCATCCTTTGGGCGGCCGATTTGGAAGGGAAGCCAGGTCCCCAGTAGTGCCCTTTCTCACCCCTTTGTTGGTTGGGAGGGTTCCCCTAAAATACTCTCTTTCTCTTTTTTTTTTGGGGGGGGGCGAAACGATGCACCCATTTCAACCTCCCATATCCTTTGGGCTTTCGCCGATGTTGAAGGCAAGGTCCCCCAGCTAGGTGGTTGGGAGGGTTCCCCTAGTAAAATTCAGACTAGAGAACAAAGTTGGTACCCTTATTCTACTGGAGGATTTTTTCTGCAGACTATTTTACCAGGGGAACCCTTTTTCGCCCAAAACAGGGGTGACTAAAAGGGCACCGGACCGCTGGGATTGCAAAGAAGGGTTTAGGTTTTGGGGCCCCGCAGGCAAGGGAACTGCCTGCCCCGGAACCTCGGCCTTGTGAAGGGCTTCTCCTCCATTCGCCCGGAAGAGCAGAAGGCGGATCGATCCCGACGAAATTGTCGTCGTCGACGTCGTCCGGTGGTCGTGGGGCGGGGGGAACTTTGGCGCGAATTTTGCCAAGGGATGTTGGGACTTGAGAACTTGTTGCCAACGAATTTGGGTTTTCCGAGTTAAACCACTGAAAGTTAAACTTTTAGCAGGGGAGCAAGAAAGCAACCGAGGGAAGCTGTGGATGTGGGGGGGGGGGGGGGTTGGCAAATTGCATAAAACCAGGGAATGATGAGTGGGGTTGAGAATAAGGTTTGTGGTGTCCGGTGTTTTTGCAACCCTAGTCTGTTTAGACATATGTATGAATTGGAGGGCCCCTGTTAATAGTTGTTTCTTCGAAACTCAAACTTAGGGGGTGCCCCAGGGGGCACAATCCCAGGTGTTTCAAGGTTGTTGTTTGTAATCAAGGCTGTTGAACCCATGTTTATCGCTGCTTTGGGCCGTTCAGGCACCAGTTGGGATCAGACATGGTTTTTCTCAAAACGCAAACTTGGGGGACACCCCATGCTCTGTAATGTGGCATCGGTAGAGCACATATTCAGTCATTGGTCGTTAGCCTGCAATTTGGTTTCAGTAGAACAGATGACCCAATGCTCCATAGGCGATCAGCTTTGAACAGTTCAATCACCAGTTGGAATCGGTATTGTTTGCTCAAAACGCAAACTTGGGGGACACCCCGGCTTTGCAATTCAGTCATTGGTTGTGAGCCTGCAATTTCTGAGAAATGCGCTAGCGATGCTTAAATGAAAGCAGTCGTTGTTGGCTTAGGATGACTCAGGCATCAGACACATTCAAAGCTGCCAGTTTAATGAACGCCACGGGTTGACCCGGACATGCTCAATTGCATTCCCCATTCATGTAGCTAAGTCAGTCGTTGTTGGCTTAGGGTGACTCAGACATCAGACACATCTAAAAGCGAAACTCCGGTACGTTTGCTGCGCGCTTGCACTGAGAAATCCCGCTAGCAATGCCCAAATGAAAGCAGTCAGTCGTTGTTGGCTTAGGGTGACTCAGGCATCAGACACATCTAAAGCGAAACTCCGGTACGTTTGCTGCGCGCTTGCACTGAGAAATTCCGCTAGCAATGCCCAAATGAAAGCAGTCAGTCGTTGTTGGCTTAGGGTGACTCAGGCATCAGACACATTTAAAAGCGAAACTCCGGTACGATTGCTGCGCGCTTGCACTGAGAAATCAGCAATGTCGCTGCTGTAAGTCAGTCGTTGTTGGCTTAGGGTGACTGCGCATCAGACACATCTGCCGAAACTCCGGTACGCTTTGCTGCGCGCTTGCACTGGAGAAATTCCACAGCGCAACAACCAGCTCAGTGTCAGTCGCTGCTGGCTCGTGTGATCTGCGCGTCATGACGAACAACCCAAAGCCGAACCTGGTACGTTTGTTGCGCGCTTGCACTGGAGAAATTCGCTGTTAATGCTCAAATGAAAGCAGTCGGTCGTTGTTGGCTTAGGGATCTGCGGCATCGTGATCATCCAAGTCGAAACTCCGGTACGTTTGCTGCGCGCTTGCACTGAGAAATTCCGCTAGCAATGCCCAAATGAAAGCAGTCAGTCGTTGTTGGCTTAGGGTGACTCAGGCATCAGACACATCTAAAAGCGAAACTCCGGTACGTTTGCTGCGCGCTTGCACTGAGAAATTCCGCGAGCGATGCCCAAATGAAAGCATAACCGGGGACTTCCAGCAATCACGGTCCTTAGATATTAGGTGCCCCCGTTTCGGGACTCACTCCCCCCCCCACCCGCAGCCCAGTTTACAAAACACAATGTATACGGCCGGCGTCCCCCCCCCCGCCCCACCCCCTTCAAAAATAAATATGTTCTCAAGGAGCGTCCGCAATGAATTCCTTATTCTCAAGGAGCGTCCTTATTGACCAGCAAAAATCCTTAATGACACGCACACAAGCAGGTGCTTGTAGATATGGATTTTGGAAAAGAAACAGATCCTTAATGACAAGCAAAAATCCGGATTTTTGACAAGCAAAATCCTTAATGACAAGCAACAAATCCTTAATCTCAAGCAGTGCTTGTCATTAAGGATTTTTGACCAGCAAAAACTCTAATGACAAGCAAAAACCCTTAATTACACGCAAGGTGGACAAAAATCCTTAATGACAAGCAACAATCCTTAATGACAAGCAAAAATCCTTAATTACAAGCGGGTGCTTGTAATTAAGGATTTTTGACCAGCAAAATCCTGAATGACAAGCAACTTAATTTCAAGCAGGTGCTTGTAATGAAGCATTTTTGACCAGCAAAATACCTTACTGACACGCAAAAATCCTTAATGACAAGCACCTGCTTGAAATTAAGAATTTTTGACCAGCAAACCCCTTAATCACAAGCAACAAATCCTTAATTACAAGCAGGTGCTTGTAATTAAGAGTTTTTGACCAGCAAACACCCTTAATGACAAGCAAAAACCCTTAATTACAAGCAGGTGCTTGTAATTAAGGATTCTTGACCAGCAAAAATCCTTAATGACAAGCAAACATCCTTAATTACAAGCAGGTGCTTGTAATTAAGGATTTTTGACCAGCAAAAATCCTTAATGACAAGCAAACATCCTTAATTTGCGTGTAATCGCTTGTAATTAAGGATTTTTGACTTATAACAATTTTTTGACGACAAGTGCAATTATACAGGTGCTTGTAATTAAGGATTTTGACCACCAAAAACTTAGTGACAAGCAAAATTTAATATAGCTAGTGCTTGTAATTAAGGATTTTGATCACCAAAATCCTTAATGACAGCAAAACATCCTTTAACACCATAAGCAGGTGCTTGTAATTATGATTTGATCACTAAGTAATGACAAGCACAAATCCTTAATTACAAGCAGGTGCTTGTAATTAAGGATTTTGACTCACTAAAAATTTTAATGACAAGCAAAAATTCTATTACAGGTGCTTGTAATTAAGTGATTTGACCACCAAAATCCACAACACAAGAAAAATCTTAATTAAGCATGGTGCTTGTAATTAAGTTTTTGAGCAGCAAAAATTCTTAATGACAAGCAAACATCCTATTACAGCAGGTGCTTGTAATTAAGTGATTTCTGACCACCAAAAAATCCTTAATGACAAGCAAACATCCTAAATTCAAGCAGGTGCTTGTATGATTTTGACCACCAAAAATTCTTACTGATAAGTAAAAATCCTCTTAATTTAAAGCAGGTGCTTGTAATTAAGGATTCTTGACCAATCAAAAAAATCCTTAATGATTAAGTGAAACATCCTAATTATGAAGCAGGTGCTTGTAAGGATTCTGATCACTCAAAAATCCCACGACAAGCAAAATCCTTAGCTAAGGCAGGTGCTTGTAATTAAGGATTTTGACTAGCAAATCTCTTAATGATACAAAACTTAATTACGCTATGCTTGTATTAGATTCTTGACCACCAAACATCCTTAATGACAAGCAAAAATCCTTAATTACAAGCAGGTGCTTGTAATTAAGAATTCTTGACCACCAAAAATCCTTAATGACAAGCAAAAATCCTTAATTACAAGCAGGTGCTTGTAATTAAGGTTTTTTGGCCTTTGTGTTCCCCACGTCTCAAGGAGCGTCCGCAATTACTTCCTTAGTCTCGGCCAGCCGAACCAATTTCAATCTCTAGGCCATGGACGCTAGCCCTGCGCACTGGTAAAGCAGTTTGCGCGAGGAAAACACGAATCCGATAGGCAAGAAACCAGATTTTCGAGGAGAAATCCTGATTTGCAAGCAAAAAGCCGTATTCGCAAGCAAAACTCCTTTTTCGCAGAACAATCCTCAATGACAAGCACGATTCCTTGATGACAAGCAGGTGCTTGTAATTAAGGATTCTTGACCACCAAAAATCCTTAATGACAAGCAAAAATCCTTAATTACAAGCAGGTGCTTGTAATTAAGGTTTTTTGGCCTTTGTGTTCCCCACGTCTCAAGGAGCGTCCGCAATTACTTCCTTAGTCTCGGCCAGCCGAACCAATTTCAATCTCTAGGCCATGGACGCTAGCCCTGCGCACTGGTAAAGCAGTTTGCGCGAGGAAAACACGAATCCGATAGGCAAGAAACCAGATTTTCGAGGAGAAATCCTGATTTGCAAGCAAAAAGCCGTATTCGCAAGCAAAACTCCTTTTTCGCAGAACAATCCTCAATGACAAGCACGATTCCTTGATGACAAGCAAAAATCCTTAATTACAAGCAGGTGCTTGTAATTAAGACTTTTTGGCTTTTGTGTCCCCCACTTTTCAGACCAAAAAACATGAAAATCCTGGTTTTGGACCGAAAACTGGGGGACAGAATTGAGGGTCTGTCCCCCAGTTTTCGGTCCAACACCAGGATTTGCGGCTTTTGTTTTTGAAAAGCGGGGGACGCAAAAAAGCGAAAATCCTTAATTACAAGCACATGCTTGTAATTAAGGTTTTTTGCTTGTAATTAAGGATTGTTGCTTGTCATTAAGGAATTTTGCTCGTCAGTAAAGGTTTTTTCTACGAAAAAGGAGTTTTGCTTGCGAATAAGGATTTTTGCTTGCAAATCAGGTTTTCTCCTCGAAAATCTTGATTTTTCCTGTAAACAAGGTTTCTTGCCTATCGGATTCGTGCTTTCCTCGCGCAAACTGCTTTACCAGTGCGCAGGGCTAGCGTCCATGGCCAAGAGATTGAAATTGGTTCGGCTGGCCGAGACTAAGGAAGTAATTGCGGACGCTCCTTGGGGAACACAAAGGCCAAAAAACCTTAATTACAAGCACCTGCTTGTAATTAAGGATGTTTGCTTGTCATTAAGGATGTTTTGGGGGTCAAGAATCCTTAATTACAAGCACCTGCTTGTAATTAAGGATTCTTGCTTGTCATTAAGGATGTTTGGTGGTCAAGAATCCTTAATTACAAGCACCTGCTTGTAATTAAGGATTTTGCTTGTCATTAAGGATTTTTGGTGGTCAAGAATCCTTAATTACAAGCACCTGCTTGTAATTAAGGATGTTTGTTTGTCATTAAG